GCTCTGCTGCTGTCCGCGCCCTTGTGCGCTCTGGTCTGCCTGCGCCCTCGTGCGCTCTGCTGCTGTCCGCGCCCTTGTGCGCCCTGCTACTGCCCGCGCCTTTGTGCGCTCTGCTGCTGCCCGCGCCCTCGTGCGCCCTGCTGCTGCCCGCGCCCTTGTGCGCTCTGTTCTGCTCTGTCGCCTCTGCCCCCCCCCCCCCCCCCCCCTTCTTCGTCTCCTGCTGCGCGTGCAGCCGTGGAACGGAGGCTATGGGGATGGCGGGTTTGGGGGTGATGGGTGTGTGTGATCCCCTTCCCCTCCTCCTCCTTTCTCTCCCACTACTGCAGCTGCCGCTGGGGGGGGGTGGGTGTGAGGGTGTGGGGGAGCTGGGAGAGAGGTGCCAGGGTTGTCGAGGAGTGTGGAAAGGGGAGTTGGAGGATTGAGGAAGGTTCCAGGAAGCAGCCGCCTTTGAGCCAGCAGCTTCACCTGACAGCAGCTTCTCCTCATGTAGTCCCTCCTCCTCACTTGCCCTCTCCTTCTCCTGCGCTTGGTGTACCCCTTCAGGGGGTGTCTCTGCATTAGCTTCTGCTGCAGGCAGTTATGGGGGAGTGTCAGAATATATCTGTAACTGCCTGTAGCTGTAGTTAGTGTAGTAATTATAAACTTTGTTTGGTGGTGCACCTTCTTTGTTACTTTGCTATATGTTCTTGCAAACCTATAGTGAAGCTCTCATTTCTCCTTTCAACTTTCTCGACACTCTCCTCAACCCTAAACCTAAACTACTAAGAACCTAACTAGCCATGGCTCCTAAGTCAAGCTAGACTTTAACAATACGCCCTTAGAAGCAACCCATGCACCCGATTTCGTCTTTTTCACTACTGTGCTGGTGTTTTGTTACCCATGTAAAACAGCTGAGTAGGAGTTTAAAAAACAGTAGTGGTCACAAAAAAAGAGAACTAATGATGCACTGTATCTCACCAATCTGTGGGGGTGGATAGGATATCCAAACGTACAACAATGATTCCACCACCAGTCCACACTTGACTGACTACTCAAAATAAGCCATGCGCGGCTTGGTATCAGGTACGAGAAGCACATACTGCTAAAGCCAGCTCAACTGAAGGCAATTAATTTAATCAGGTTACAAGAACTTCTCCAGATGTGATGTATCGCATGAGAACCCTTTGTGCCCACATTCAAGCTGCTAGCCTATCATTCTCTGTGTCATGGGAGCTACAGTAGGCTTCTCCAAGGGATACCTTGTCAGTAGATCTACACTGTGGATGCCCGATCGATCCTACGGGGGGTTACAGGCGTGTTTGCCTGGGGGGTTATGGGCGCACTCTGACCCGCTACTTAACAAGCCCTTTTATCCCAATGGTCTAGTGGTTGGGATTCTGACATACCTTCCCTTGCCAGCAGTTGTTCTGCGCATAAGCTCGTGAGACTCCTCGCAAAGAGCACATCCCAGGCACCAGGTGTGGATGCAGCAATCACAGACCCTCTCGCAGAATGGATCCGGATCCCTGCAGCAGTATTTCGCCTCACCCTGTAAGCAAAAAGCAGGCCCAAGGAAGTTAGAGAAAAGTTATAAACACAGAGCGCGTCCAGCCATCCGTTCCCCCCCCCCCCCCCCCCCCCCCCCGCTATCTATACAGCATTATCTATACTGATACTGTTGTGGACCCTACTGAAACCGCACAAGACACGCACCTGAACACTCTATTTGTTTCGAATCGCTGTTCGTGTAGGCGATGTAAACAAGGGGATCAGATAGCCCGCATATCGAAACCGTGTAACGCAGCAAACTCCACGACAAGAGCCAAGAGAAATAAGCTGCAGCAGCAGCCACAGCACACGCTCTCGTTGCCTGTCAGCATTTCCCGGTTGATGCCGAATAGCACACTAGGGCAAAACGAACCTATGCAACCTGGGAAGGAAAGAGAGGGACGTACGCAATGATTAGAATGAAGAAAACGAATCTAAGGAGCAAAAGCGAGCGGAAACAGAAAAGGAAAAGCCAACGATGGTTTCGTGTCCAATAAATGAAACAGGAGACGGGACGTACAGATTTTGCAATCATGGCCGCTCGCTGAATCGTTGTTGTCGAAGCAGCTGCACAGGCCTGTGTGCCACTCCGAAGGCCCCCCGTGCGAATACTCGCCATGGAATGGCGTCGTCACTGACGGTGCTGGTAGTATAGGGACGGCTTCGGGGTCACCCGGTGGGCCATTATGTGCAACGTGCTCAACAACCACACCATTCCGGTTGTACGTGTAGTAACCTGGGACAGAGGCTTCAGGCCTTATCTGAAACGAGCTGTACGATTCATGGCTCGCGGAACCTGAAGTCAGACTGGTCGTCTGCATAACGACACCCATTGTAGGGGTTTACGCTCCCCTACGGAAAACGGGGGCAAAACATCGGCACGACATCTGCTGTCATCGTATAAATATTGCAACAAAGCCCTTCTGCCGATCTCGGCCTAAGGGGGCTAGTGTGGTGAGGAAGACGGTCCGGGCCCGGGCCTCCGTAACTGGGCCCCGTAATGGGGATCGCTGGGACGCTGCTTGCGGCGTCGTTGTCGCCCACGGAATGCCGGCAAACGAATCTGGGGGGGTTGGCGAAAGGTCGTTTGTGAGGATTGCGCCAGAAAACCGATCTGATATGTTCATACGGGACAGGGCGAAAAACCACGGGCGAAGGCGGGCTCGCTTGCGCTCGCTCGCGGAAGCGAGAAAGGTCGTGAGATTGCGCCAGACTAAGTAACTCTCCCTCCACGTCTGCGGGCTATCTCTGCACAGTGGCATATTTCCTGGAACATCTTATCAACAGTGCCGTGCAAGCAGCTTACACATGATGCCCATTTCAGTCCCCTTCCCCATCTTTCCCTGTGCTCCTCTCTCGAGCATGCGTTCACTAGGGGCAGAATGGGACTGAATGTAGAACAAAGGTTGACAAAAAAACTACAATTGCGGAAATTGTGGGTAGCCCAGCGTGTTTTGTCTGGGAAACTCGAACATCTTGGTTTTGTCGTGGGCTAGTAACGCCCGGGCCGTTCGCTGTGAATGTCGACCACTGGGCATATGGAGTGGCAGTGGGCCTGTTCAGAGTGGGCAGTTGAGTGAGCATTAGGGGATGATATACCTCAGCGGACAAAAATTGCCGCCCATTTTCGCGGTTCAGAACGGACAAGGGACCCCCTCGGGATTGACGAGCTCGCGACGACCTCCGAGCTCCAAGCTGGGCCCAAATGGCGTCCCAGGGGCCTCGGGAGCCCTCGGGAATGTCGACAATCCGACGACATACGTTTGTGCTGGGAGATTCCTTAGAAGTAAATCTCAGCGGACAAAATAGGAAAGCTCGCCACGTCGAGCCGCGAGTGCCGCCACGCGGACCAATAGGCGGGAGCCGAACCGTCCCCACCGTGTACTAGGCTGCCACGACGTGACCGTCGTGGCCATTCGTCGCCCCAGCGGTGATTTTCCCAAAGCGGGAAAACATTCACACCTTTGAAAATGGGCCAGCTCGATCCACGCGGCAAAAATCGGACCGTCCAGGATGTAACTGTTCTGTGGCATCGCGTGTTGCATGCGATGTCGGTGTCGACCAGTACATCCAGAGGCCCACAACCAAGCCACGCGGCACAATCCCAACGCTGTCTATGTTCAATGAACCTAAGGAAACAACCAAGCGCGCCGAATGTAAGTCGGCGCCGATCTTTGGGCGCCCACGGTAGGACTGCCACGGTGGGATTCAAGAATTCCGGAACCCTCGAAGATTCGAGCCTGCATGCAGTAATTTCGGTACTGAGAGGCCAATGTCGGCCCCAAGCCACGTAACACACGCCCATTCCACCGTAGAAAGGGCCTGGCTTACGCCCCTTCGGTGCAGCGCGAAGTCACAATAGCCATGCTTGGCGCGTGGCACTTCGGGCAGTGCGTCGCCTATGTGAGAACACATGCACGGCGGCAGGAGCATAGGGGTGTGCGTCAATCGCGGCAGCGTCAGAGTCGCTCAGGACCATACCCGTCCGTGATCGTGCGGGCCTGCTCATTCCCATGTCCGTTCCTGCGTTTCTTCCTGCTCTCTCGTGCACTTAGAATTTCCAGCTGCCAGTAGGTTACTCGGTTGCCGACTTGGTCAGTAGACGGTTCAAGACGACGACGCATGGCCAGAGGTCGCCCTAGAGCACAACAGCCGCAACCCATTCCACCCCCTGCCGACTCTGTAGACGCCGACATCAAAGCGCAATTGGAACGGCTCGAGGTCGAAGCCGAGTTAGACGCACTTCAGCGAGAATTCGAAGAAGACCGCCGCCGCGGAACTCTACGCGCGTTCACCGCACACGTGAATCCGTACCGTCTCTGGTTTACCGACCTCCGCATCGCAATCGGACGGTGGTAGAGCAACATACGTGCTGCCACATGGCCGACGTCGACATGACTGACGCTAGACCATCCACCGACCACAGTCCGACATCTACCGAGGAAGAGACGCTCCCCTTACTCTACGATCTTGACAAGCTGACGCAGATTCCAGAAGGGGACTTCACCAAGGACATTCCCCCACCGCGGATCGGGGAGTTCAACAAGAAAAAGAAACAGAATCCAACGCGAAACGGACGGCCTGGAACTTCGTCGGCACCGGCCGGCTTTGGAAACCAGGTTGAGGTCGAAGAGGAGGAGGATGGGGGGGAGGAGGAGGAGGAGGAAAGCGATGACGAAAACGACGAGAGTCCGCCGCGTAGCACTAGTCAGCGCACCTTGGAAGAACGGCTCAGGCGGGAACTTGAATACATAGATGATCTGCTCGATCAGGACGAGGATGCCGACCAGGAGAACTTGTCGGTGCCGCGCGAACAGTGGAGGGCGGCAGACTTTGTCGAGGAAGACATGGTGTATGCGACCATCAACGTGCTCGTCTTGGACGCCCTACGCCACCTGTAGACCGTGGAGAGGAACAGCACGCTGAGGCAGTACACCTCGTGGATCTATCACTAGAAGAGGTGGGCGGCGAAGATGTTGATGCAAATTCGCAACAAGCTTCCCCAGGAGTACAGGCTTAAGCGCGTCGACGAGATAGGGCACTACATCCGAGACAACAAGAAGAAGAACTGGAACCAAGAGGCCGATGTCCCCCGGTCGCACGTGTGGCTGCACGGCCCTAGGGTCACCACGTCCCGGCTTCGTGCATACGTGAAGTACATGGTTCGGGAGCTGAAGCTCGATGCCGAGTCCAGCAAGGAGGGCGACAACGCCACAGGAACACAGCGTGTGCAATCTACAACGGTGCACATGCTCCTCGGGTGCATAAAGGCATGCCAGATGGCTGCGAGAGTGGAGGCGACGATATACCGGGAGACGGAGCTGAGCATCATGCGTGAGATATCGGTGGTCAGGTCGGAGGTGCGGTTCATGATCCGCACCAAGAACGAGCGGGACCTCAAGTGAGTTTTTGTTTAACCTCTATCGACCACTCTCTTGTTGTCATGTACTGTGTCGACGTCTCCCTAAATGCCCCTTACCCTCGGCATTGTCGGCAGGAACTGCACCGATCGGCGTCGTGGAACCATTGGCGATACCTACACCACAGAACAGTTCCGCTAGATCATGTTCAGGGTGCTGCCGACGTGGGCGGCTAAGGCTTGGAACCCGCGGGATACGGGCCCGTCGCACACGCTGTGGCAGTTTCTGCTGTTGAAGGTGCTCACGCTACTCTCCCACCATTCTCTCCTGCGCGGCGCAAGCATCCGCGAGATCACGCTCCCCGACATATTCTTGTACCGATTGGCGAGCACCTCGTCGGTGAACCCGGAGAACCAGCCGGTCGTCATGGTCATCGCTGCGCGGAACTCAAAGACGTCCAAGGATGCGCGTCTGCAGCAGAGCTACGCTGCACGGCACCTCGAAGCAGAGTTGTGCGCCGTCGGCGAGACGGGCCTGTGGTTGCACTTCATCCTCGACCAGTTCGGCCAGTTTCACGGCGTCCGCCTCATTCCGCCGGTGGACACCAGCAGACGCGCGAGCTGGTACAAGAAGCACCTCTTCTTCGCCAAAAACGACACCGACCAAGGGGAGCTCTCTGCGGCAAGCCACCAACGCTGGACGTGGCAGTTATGGGACAAAAACGGGGTCTTCTGCAAGAGGAACGTGCACGCCGCTCGAGCCGGAGGGGCCCAGGAGCTGGCCATCGACGGCACGCCGCGCGCCGAGATCACGGAGCTGGGTCACTGGGCGCTCGACAAGATGACGCGAGCGTACATCACCGCCATTCCGGTGGGGGTGGTGATGAAGAAGGCCGGTTGCTCTGGTTACAAGCAGGACTACTTCTTGGGCCGGAGCCGGGTGGAGCCCTCCGATAAGCTCTTGAAGCTCCTCGCCGAGCACATCTTCCCCGGCGTCGACGACATGCTGAAGACGGTATGTTAGTCGACGCCCTCGTATCCTTGTTTCCGAGTCGTGTTGCCGACAGTGTCTGAACTCCTAATAACGTGACGAATTGCAGGCGGAAGGGAAGGCTGCCGAGGGGTCCGACGCCGACAAAGCCGCGGTGCACTTCTGGCGCACACTCGCGATGCTGCGCCGCATCATTGCCGAGGACCTAGCGGTGAAGCTGGTCCGCACACCATGGCACCCGTACGTCCAAGGCTCCGTGCTTTGCCGGATCCCCCTCTTCCAACACTGGGCGAAACGGGTCGAGAGGGTCGACACCGAGACGATCAACAAGCGTCGGGATCCGACCCAAATTCAGGCAGAGGTAAGTCGACGACGAGCTGGATGTAGGGCATTCCAAACCACCTCGCGGCTAACGTCGTTGTCCTACCGCTGCAGGAAATCTCTGTCCTCATGGACACCGAGTTCTACAACATATCCCTCAAGGCGAAGCTGACGAAGGAGATGGAGCGCGCCGCGAACGAGAAGATTGACTTCTTGGAGGAGCTCGAGAAGCGCGACGACACCATCACGTCTCTCACCGCCGAGATAACCCGTCTCACCGAGGCACTCCGTGTGTCAGAAGCACGGAGAGTGCCGGAGGCCCCGCCGTGTGCTACCGCGCAATCTCCCAGCGAGGGTGGCTCGGCGGATTCGGCCAACATGGGAGCCGGCGCCGACGGAGGGGACGACAAACCCCCGCCACCCCCACAGACGGACAAGGAGGCTAGTTATGAGCTCAACGTGGTACAACCGTGGCGGGAGGCCAAGACCGTGAGGGACGCCTGGCGCCTCTGGAACTCTGCCACCGCTAATGACACCCGTCGGCTTTGCGACAGGATCGCCGAGCCGGGGTTCATCGACCGCCACACCCTCCTCGCAGGCGCGACGCAAGGTGCACTCAACAAGAGGGTGCGCCGCATGCTGAAGGTCATGGATGCGGTGCGCCAGCTACGCGCGAGCGACGGCGAAGCCGACACCGAGGCCGTGGTCGACACACTGTACAGGATCGCGGCATCGGGCATCGGGACCTTCGCCGATGCCCTCACGGTGCTCAAACCGGGAACGACACCGATGTTGTCCAAAGAGGCTGGCATGGGAGTCAAGGGGCTGGGCCCCAAGGTGGTCTCGAAGCTACGCCTCGCCTGTGCGCTTGTGGCGCTCAACCGGAAGCAGAGTGATTGGGTCGAAACCCTGTTTCCAGACACGTAGGAGGAGCAGATGCCGAAGACCAAGGCCGACCTGGCGAAGCCGATGGCACCGGCCAAGTTGACAGCACCGGCCAAACCGACCGCTCCGGTGCACCGTCCTCCGACCAAGCGGAAGAAGTCGGCATGAGCGCGCTTGTAGGATATGCGTGTGCGTAGTTCGATGCTGTTAACTGTGGCAGACTTTAAACCCCCCTCCCCCCCCCCCCCCCCCCCCCCCCCCCCCTCAAATGCTGTTCTGCTAGTTTGTAACAACCCACAGCAAAGCCATTGCGAACCTACTTGATCCCGCCGTGTTAAATGTAGTCGTTCGCTCATTACTAATCAAAACACAGATAGATGTCGACGTCTCGCAGGTTTGCATGTTGCTAGGCTGTCGACATGTACCTAGTCATTGCTCGTCGCCAAGTAGCATATTCTTATTAATGTAGACAGATGCGCCGACAAGGCTCATCGTTCAAAGACGGCTAGCAAGTTTCAATGTGAACAGTAGGGTTTAGGATCATCACAAGTGAAGCAAACAGAAACGAAGAAGATTCGTGCCCTACGATCAAAAAGTCATTAGATTTACTACGACATCGGCGCCAGCCATACCATAGCATCCCGCACACCACAGCCCGCCAACTACGCATCCGTACTGCCCTTGCCCTCCTTGCCCTTCTTCCTCTTGCTGCCCTTGCCCTGCTTGACCTTCTCCCCCTTCCTCCCCCTGTGATCCATATCGTACTCCATCTTCGCGTAACACGGCACATCGATGCCCTGCTCTTTTAGCTTGGGCCCGGCGACGGGGCACATTCCCCAGAACGCCAAGGTCTCGACCGTCGCTCTGGCGATCATGTCGGCCTCGACTTCCTCAACTCCCTCCTCGAAGGCCCTGACCACTACGTGGCGCTGCAGCGATGGCGCGACGATATGGGCAACCTCCCCCGCGGGAGCCTCCCGACTGCGTGCTAACTCGATCACCGCGTGCATCACCTTCTTGAATGCCTCGGCCCTCTCCTCCTCCGCACCTGCCACCATCGCCGGCGCCTTCCCTTCGCCCACAGCACCGAGCAACGACGCTCCCGTCTCCACGAAGCACCAGAGGGCGCATGCAGATGCCGCTAACGTCTGGGCCGCCATCTCCGTCTTCTCGTCCGCCTTCCCCTCCGCGCCTTCCATCTCCGTCTTCTCTCCCGCACTCCCTTCTATGCTCGTGTCGACCTTCCCAAACGCCGCGCTCGCCGCGACTTTCCCATACGCCGCGCACATCGACACGCGATTTACCATCGCCGACATGAGAGCCTCCGTCTCCTCCTTGTCTTCCTCCGTGTTTTCGATGATGGGGAACCAGATCGCCGGCCAGAGCACCCCATGAAGCGCATCACCCGACCTCGCGTACCCACGGTACCTGCCGAGTATGTCGTCGATACAGCCGCGCAAACACATTAAAACGACACCGACTTCAGCGTAATGACACCGACATGGTCGACAAAACTCGGCGCGTCGGTAGCCGTCTTACCTTGCTCTCGGATGGCACAAGCCTCTGGCCCACATCACCGTCCACAACCCAGTCGGTAAGAACTTGACCTCCTCCCACACCTCCTTCCATTTCTCCAACTCCCCCGGCTTCAAGACGGTGAGCTCCTTCATGCACACCTTGCTCACGTAGCCAGCTCCATCTTCTCCCTCGACTTGCCGATGTCTCGATTCCGTCCGTTTACCTTAATCTCGCCCACCCACCCATGCCCGTCATCGGACCTGTCTTGGCGGATGCCATGCCCCCTGCGTTCTTTATCTCCCTCGACGCCCTCCTCGTCATCCTCCTCCGCCTTCTCCTTCTTCTTCGCCGGCTTACTCTTGCCGCCCTTCTTGTCCTGACTCCCTTCCGCCTTCTTCCCTTTCTCTTCCGACATCTCCTTCCCCGCCGACATCGCCCGCGTGCTCCTCTGAGAGACCGCGCTCCCTTTCCCGGTGTCGACCTTCCCCTTCCCTCCCGCATTACTCTCAGCGACAGCACCCGTTGCACCCGTCAGCTCCGCCGATCCCTCACCGTGGGTCGCAGACGGCCCCACATGCGCCGTGTCCATGATGGCCAGAGCATGGGGCGTGCTCAGGGCGTTTCGCTGCATCAAAATGGCCCAGGAAGGCAGCGAGTGCGGCATGCTTGTCGGCGCGGCCGCCGGTGGCTAGCGCTGCACTCACTCCCCTCTCCGACCGCCTCCGTCGGTAAACGCGTCCGGATCGACCCGCATCGACCTGGTGAGGGTGCGGTCGCGTTTACCGACGTCGTCGTCACGCTTTTGTCGTGTTCCTGCTGAGTCACCGATGGAGCAGCCGCTTTGTGTTCGACTAAATGGGTGCGCAAAAACGCTGACTTGGAGTCCGCAGGCGTTGGGGCGGCGACCGAATGCGCTGCAGGTGGGGCCCCGGACGATGTGCCGGCAAACTGCGGAGAGACGGAGCGACGTGCTGTTCCGGCAAGGCCGGCGTCGACCACGGGATGCTGCTGCACGTCCCTACTATGCGCCTCCATGCGGCGGAGCATCTCCCTGAGCGTGTCAGCACCGGGGGGCCCCTTAGCTGATGCCGGAGCAGCGCCCTTAGCCGAAGCAGCCTTTGCGCCGCCCTTGACGGCAGCCGGGGCTCCTAGAGCTGGAGGGGCCGCACGGGCCTCCCCATCTTTGGTCGCACCTGACTGGCCGGCAGGCGCGCTGGTAGCCGCAGGGGGGTTACGGGGAGGGCACTTGGTGGTGCCGACGACCGTAGCAGAAGCAGCCTTCGTCTTGCCCTTGGCCGCCACAGCGACGGACGGTCCCTTGGTGGTTCCGGCGCCGCCATCTTCCACCGCCTGAGCAGTTGGGACCTCCTTGTCGGTCACGACATTCCGACCGCTCGCCTGAGGATGGGTCTTCTCGGCGACCAAAGGCGGGCCTGGCTGAGCGGTGACGTTAGCGGCAGCCCCGTCAGCAGGGCCACCCTCTGCCGTCCCGCTTCCGCCACCCTTGGTGTTCGACGTCCTTATCACCCTCCACCCCGCCTTCGTCTTCAACTGGTCGACCACGCTCTGTGGCGCAGGCTTCGAGCCGCGGCTCCCGTCCGATCCCTTGCTCCGCTTCTCGTCGCCCTTCGCGCTCTCCTTGTCGTCTCCGTCGCCCGTCCTCTTCAGGCCCTGCTTGTCGGCCGTCTTCCGTTGCGCGTGATCGGCGTCATTGGCCGACGGCGATGACCCACGTCGACCAGGCGCCACAGTGCCGACCATCTCGGCCATCATCTTCATCCCAGAAGCGACGAAAGACTGTTGGGCGGCCTCCATCACCGCCTTCATAATGTCGGCTTGAACGACTTCAAGAGCTCTTCCGGGAGGGCGGGCGGCGTGGGCGGAGGCGGTGGCGGCGGCTGCACGGGGAGCCTGGTGGTCACAGCGGTGGCGATGTTGACCTGCGCGGCGGATAGTTGCGTCGTGATGTACAGCTCCAAACCCCGCTGCACTTCGCCCACCACCCCAGTCACATGCTCGGCCAACGCGTCGACCGCTACCGCGCGTGCAACTGCCACACGACCCTGCGGGTTGTCGAAGTCCTCCAACCACGACGTCGCCTGTTCCGCGAAGGTCTTCATCGTCTTCCACGCTTCGTCGAAGCTGCCGGTGATGTTGCCCGTGATTGTCTTCGACATGGCCGCCGTCGCGTTTCGCAGCTGTTCCGCCGCATACTTCTAGGTGTCGTCGACCTGCTCGGCCAACTCCTTCACGTGGTCGACGAGTCCACGTATCCCAACAAAAAACCTCTCCAGCCGAGCCTGCTCCGCATCGAGCAACGTCGCCAGCCGAGCGTTCTCCGCCCTCAACAGCCAGTTCTCCCGTCGCACCTGCTCGACGTCGTCCAGCTCATTACCCGGCCGACCAGAAGCGTCCCCCGTCTCCTGCACGCCCGTGGTGTTCGCCGCTTCGCCGGCGTCGGCCAAAACCTTCCCACCTTCGCATGCCGCCTTCTCCTGGCCCTTTTCCGTCATTGCCTCCACGCTGACCTTATCCTTCTCCTTCCCCCCATCTGCCGACCTCGTATCATTACCCGCATCGCCATCCTCCGCTTCCTCGTTCTTTTCATCCACCGACCCCACCGCCTCTAGTGCAGCTTCCTCCTCTTTGAACTCCGCCTTGTACTCCACCACTTCCTCCACCCCCTCCTCATCCTTCCCGTCCCCCTCCCCATCCTTCCCTTCCCCCCCCTCATCCTTCCCTTCCCCCTCCCCATCCTTCCCTTCCCTCTCCTCATCCTTCCCTTCCTCCTCCTCATCGCCGTCATCCTTCTCGTCCTTCTCCTCCTCCTCCTCCTCCTCCTCCTCCTCCTCCTCGTCCTCCTCCTCGTCCTTCCGCTTCTCCGCCTCCTTCTCAGACTCCGACTCCGACTCCGACTCTGAATCCTCCTCCGACTCCTCCTCTTCCTGTCAGATTTATATGACATATTTGCTGTAGGCTATAGTGGGGTAGCACATATGGGGTATAGGGTTTCTAGGGTTGTATTTGTACCCAATCTTTCCTTAGTCATTTTCATTCCTGTTCACTTGTTTCACATGGTATAGAGCGGGTCCTTCCTTAGGACCGGTTTTTTTTTAGGGCCCACCGAAGCACGCCCCGAGGCGCGCCTTTTTTTTAGCGACCCCTCGGGTCGCCATTTCCCTCGCGGCCCCGCTGTCCCTCGGACGCGGCCCCGCCACCCCTCCTGATCGCGGCCCCGCCGCCTGCTTGACGCGGCCCCGCCGCCTCCACTGACGCGGCCCCGCCGCCGGCTCTGACGCGGCCCTGCCGCCCGCTTCGTCGCGGCCCCGCCGCCTGCTTGACGCGGCCCCGCCGCCTCCACTGACGCGGCCCCGCCGCCGGCTCTGACGCGGCCCTGCCGGCCCGCCGCTGCACCCTACGGCCCGCCGCTGCACCCTACAGCCCGCCGCCTCACCTGACGGCCCCGCCGCTGCACCTGCCGGCCCGCCGCTGCACCTGCCGGCCCGCCGCTGCACCCAGCGGCCCGCCGCTTCACCTGACGGCCCCGCCGCTGCACCTGCCGGCCCGCCGCTGCACCCTACGGCCCGCCGCCTCACCTGGTCGGCCCGCCGCTGCACCCTACGGCCCCGCCGCTGCACCTGCCGGCCCGCCGCTGCACCTGCCGGCCCGCCGCTGCACCGGTCGACCCGCCGCTGCACCTGACAGCCCCGCCCCTGCATCTCCCGGCCGACCCGCCCCAGCAGCAGAGCCGCCCCAGCAGCCGAACCGCCCGGGAGCCGAGCCGCCCAACGCCGAGCCGCCCGGGACCCGAGCCGCCCTGCCGCCGAGCCGCCCGGGAGCCGAGCCGCCCTGCACCCGAGCCGCCCTGCTGCCAAGCCGCCCGGGAGCCGAGCCGCCCTGCGCCCGAGCCGCCCAGCCGCCGAGCCGCCCGGGAGCCGAGCCGCTGTGCACCCGAGCCGCCCGGTCGCTGAGCCGCCTTTCTGTAGAGCTGCACGACCTGCCCTGCCTGGTGAGCAGAGTCCCACTGCCACTGCGAGCTCTTTCCCTACTGCTTGCACTGCGTCGCTGTCGTCGCCATGGCTACCCCTAGTGTCCTAGCTTTTGACGCTGAGGGTCGCGCCATTGATTTTGAGGTCTGGTTAGACGACCTGCAGCTGTTCTTACAGTGCGACAGGGCTGACGACCTTTCTCTCTTTGACCTCACCTCTGGCGCCTCTCCTACTCCTGCTGCTGATGCTGATCCCACTGTCCGCTCTCAGTGGGCCACCCGCGATGCTGCTGCACGTCTTGCTGTGCGTCGCCACCTCCCTACCTCTGAGCGTGCGCACTTTAGTCAGTACAAGAGTGCTCAGACCTTGTACGACGCTGTAGTTGCGCGCTACTCCTCCCCTGCCACTGCTGCACTGAGCCGTCTCATGCTTCCCTACCTCTTTCCTGACCTCTCTGCCTTTCCCACTGTTGCTGACCTCATTACGCACCTCCGCACTAGTGACACTCGCTACCGCGCCGCCCTTCCTGCTGAGTTCTGCGCTAAGAACCCCCCCCCATGTACATCGCTCTCTACTACGTAGTCGCGCGCCTCCCTGACTCCCTTCGCGTCGTCAGGGACCACTTTCTCGCAGTCTGTCCCACCACCCTCACCGTCGACCTCCTCGAGAAGGCCCTCCTCGCTACGGAGAAGAGCATAGTTGCTGTAGGTGCTTCTCGTGGTGACCCTCGCACCCCCATCTTTGAGGGGTGCTCTCCTTCCCCCTTGCTGCCCTCTGTTGCCTCTGCTGCTGCTGCCGACCTGCTTGGTCTTGAGTCGGTCGGCGCGGCGTCTACCCCTAGTGGGAGACGTCGCTCCAGCAAGGGCAAGGGGGGCAAGGGCGCGGGTGGAGCTGGAGGGGGCGGTGGCGGTGGCGGCGGTGGCGGCGGAGGGAGTGGGGGTGGCGGCGGGACTAGTGGCGGGGGTGGTGGTGGTGGTGGCAGCAGCGGCGGAGACGGTGGTGGTGGTGCCAGCGGTGGTGGTGGAGGCAGCGGCGGAGGTGGAGGCGGTGGAGGCGGCAGCGGAGGAGGCGGTGGTGGTGGAGGAGGTGGAGCTGGTCGGGGTGGTACCCAGCAGCGTAGCGGCGGTGGTGGTGGCCAGCGCTCGCAGCGGCAGCAGCAGCAGCGCTCGCGGGACATCCCTCCGCCTCAGCAGCTTCGTGAGTGGTACGCTGGGCGTCAGAGGGGTGGGGGTACTGGTCCCTGCACCTACGTTCTTCGTTCCGGCGACCGCGCGGGTGAGCAGTGTGGGGGTGCCCACGCCACCCAGCGCTGCTTTGGCCGCCTGACGGACGCTTGGCGTCAGCAGTTCCCTGGGGCTAGTGAGATCCCTCGCTGGGATGAGCTTCTAAGGGCTGGTGTAGCGATCTTTGATCTTGATTTTGATGCTATCCTTGCTGCTATGTATGCTGTGGATTATAGTGAGGAGAATGAGGGTTACCGCTGTTTCCAGCCCGACCCGGGCATTGGTACTGCTGCGCTAGGTGCTTGTGAGGCTGCTGCTCTAGGTGCCGGTGCGTCTGCGCTCTCAGGTACTGGTGAGACTGCGCTCTCAGGTACTGAGTCGTCCTCGTCCTCCCTCACTTTCACACTTGACTCCGGAGCTTCTCGCTCTTTCTTTCGAGACCGCACTACCCTTACGCCGCTCGGCCGGCCGGTTGCAGTCTCCCTTGCTGACCCCTCTGGGGGTCCTGTCCTGTCTCACTTCTCCACTGTCCTCCCGTGTCCGGCTGCCCCTTCGGGCACCCTGTCGGGTCTGTACCTTCCCTCGTTCTCTACGAACTTGGTGAGTGGTGCTGACCTACAGGATACGGGTGTCGACCAGTTCACTCCTGCTCGTCAGCGGGTGACCCACTGCACGGAGGCTCGCACAAGCCGACACCTGGCCACGTTCTCGCGTCGGCCGGGGTCGAGTCTCTACACCCTGACCGTTGAGTCTCCTCCTGTCCTTGCGTCTGGTCAGGTGGTTGCGTCGGGTCAGGTACTTGCTGCTGCGTCCCGGTCAGGTCCTGAGTCTGCCCCCTGTTCTTGTCGCCTCCTGTCTCACGAGACTCTCCTGTGGCACCACCGTCTTGGCCACCCCTCCTTGCCCCGTCTTCGGAGCATGGCTTCCCGTGTCCTTGTCTCTGGTCTTCCCCAGTCTCTCCCTCCTCTCCCCTCCGGGCCAGGACCTTCCTGTGTCCCCTGTGTCGAGGGTCGCCTCCGGGCTACTCCTCACTCCTCCCACTTCCCCCCGACAGAGGCTCCCCTGCAGACGCTTCACATGGATGTGTGGGGCCCAGCCCCCGTCCGTGGGCAGGGTTACGAGCGCTACTTCCTGTTGGTGGTTGACGACTACTCGCGTTACACCACAGTCCTCCCCTTGCGCAGCAAGGGTGCGGTCACTGAGGTGCTGATCGACTGGATCCGCGAGGCTCGTCTCCAGCTCAGGAAGAGCTTCGGCTCGGACTTTCCTGTTCTGCGTCTGCACTCTGACAGAGGCGGAGAGTTCTCTTCTCGCCTTCTGCGAGACTACTCTCGTGCACGGGGGATCCGCCAGACCTTCACGCTTCCGGACTCACCACAGCAAAATGGGATTGCTGAGCGCCGCATTGGCATGGTCATGGATGTCGCTCGTACGTCCATGATGCATGCGGCTGCCCCCCATTTTCTGTGGCCGTTTGCGGTGAGGTACGCGGCGCATCAGCTCAACCTTCACCCCAGGGTCTCTCGGCCTGCGATGTCCCCAGCCTTGCTGTGGACGGGGAAGGTTGGCGATGCGTCTGTGTTCCGTGTCTGGGGATCTCGGGCGTTTGTCCGCGACTTGTCTGCGGACAAGCTGTCCCCTCGTGCTGCTCCCTGTGTCTTCCTTGGCTTCCCCACTGACGCCCCAGGGTGGCAGTTTTACCACCCCTCCTCTCGTCGTGTTCTGTCCTCCCAGGACGTCACGTTCGACGAGTCAGTCCCCTTCTACCGTCTCTTCCCCTACCGCACTCCTTCCCTCCCCCCTCCCCCGGACTTCCTTGTGCCGGTTCCCCCCCCGGTAGACCCCCTCCCCCCTCAGGTTCCTGCCCCCTCAGGTGTGTCGCAGGTAGACGCCGTTGACCCGGTCGAGGTTACTGGTGACTCTGGTGCTGCTGCGGGTGCTGAGCCTAGGGGTGCTGACTCTGGGGGTGCTGTGCGCGGGGGTGCTGAGCCTGGGGGTGCTACTGCTGGGGGTGCTGGGCCTGAGGGTGCTACTGCGGAGGGTGCGGAGCCTGGGGGTGCTGAGCCGGGGGGTGCTGTGCCTGGAGGTGCTGGGTCTGGGGGTGCTGGGTCGGGAGCTGCTGAGCCTGGGGGTGCTGCGTCTGGAGCTGCTGAGCCTGGGGTTTCTCCTGCTGTTGCGTCTCGCCGGGAGCCCCTCTCTCCACAGGAGCTGCGCGAGTGGTTTGCTCGCCGCTGGAGGCGTGCTGCTGAGTCTGGAGGTGCTGCTGGAGCTGGAGCTGGAGCTTCTTCGACCGTCGAGGGTGCGGGTGCTGCCGGTCCCGGAGCTGCTGGACCTGCGGGTCCTCCTGGAGCTGGAGCTGCTGAGGGCGTTGGTGCTGAGCCTACTGCTGTTGGTCCTGCCGCTGGAGGTGTGGGTGGCGCTGGTGCTGCCGCTGAGGGTGCTGGTGCTGTCCCTGCTGAGTCTGGTGCTCTCGCGCGGCCTCGGCCGTACTTCGTTCCGCTCCTGCAGCAGGTTCTTGGTCTTTCTCCTCTAGTAGAGGGTCCACCGCCTGTCCAGTCGCAGTCCCTGCTGGAGCCTTCCTCTCCACTGCCTGCTCCCTCTCCTTACACTGGTCCTACTGGAGGTCTTGCTGAGCGTCGTGAGCCTGCGTCTCGTCCCGCGTCGCCTGTTCGTGCTGCTCGCGCTAGTGGTTGCAGTTCGCGTCAGCGTCCTCCTCCTGTCCCTGGCACGCACCGGATGTCTTTGCGTCCGTCCACTGCTCCTCTGCGTGCCCCTTTGCCTTCTCCTCCTGAGTCCTCTCTTCCTGCGCTTGCCGACCCTGAGTCGGACTCTCTTCGTGCTGCCAGTCCGACTGTCACGCGTCTGCTTGCTACTGTCGTCACTGACCCCTCTTTTGAGTCCACTGCTGCGTCTGCTCTAGTCGCTGAGCTCGTCGACTTTGCTGCTCGCTGTCGTCTCGACTACGCTGCTAGTCTTGTTGCTGAGTCTGCGTCTGTCTGTCCTCCGTCCGTCGGGGGTGAGTGTGCTCTTGGCACGGACGTCCTAGAGGACAGGCAGGAGGAGTTAGAGTGTCTAGCGGCTGCTTCACCTCATCTCGCGTCTGTACTGCTTGCCCCTGAGGGAGACCCGGATGCACCAGACATCCCGACTCCGCGTTCTTACGCGGAGGCCGTAGAGGGTCCCTACTCGTCTCAGTGGCAGGCAGCTATGGATGCAGAGATGGCTTCCTGGAAGTCCACAGGCACCTACGTTGACGCGGTTCCCCCTCCTGGGGCGAACATCGTCAGTGGCATGTGGATCTTCAGGGTGAAGCGGCCGCCGGGCTCTCCACCTGTCTTCAAGGCACGGTACGTTGCTCGTGGCTTCAGTCAGCGGCAGGGAGTTGACTACTTTCAGACCTTCTCTCCCACCCCGAAGATGACCACTCTTCGGGTGCTGCTGCACATAGCCGCTCAGCGCGACTACGAGCTTCACTCTCTCGACTTCAGCACTGCGTTCTTGCAGGGTAGCCTGCACGAGGAGATCTGGCTTCGCCGTCCACCTGGCTTCACTGGGACTTTCCCTCCTGGCACCTAGTGGAGCCTCCGACGGCCAGTCTACGGTCTCCGCCAGGCACCGCGTGAGTGGCACGACACACTGAGGACTACGCTTGCGGCTCTTGGGTTTGCTCCTTCTACTGCTGACCCGTCGCTGTTTCTTCGCACCGACACTTCCCTGCCGCCGTTCTACATCCTCGTGTACGTCGACGACTTGGTCTTTGCCACAGCGGACACTGCTGGACTCGCCTACGTGAAGTCCGAGCTGCTGAAGAGACACACGTGCACAGACCTGGGTGAACTGCGCAGCTACCTTGGCTTGCAGATCACTCGGGACAGAGCACGCCGCACCATTACCTTGACTCAGTCACACATGGTGCAGCAGGTCCTTCAGCGCTTCGGCTTCACGTACTCCTCGCCTCAGGCCACTCCTCTGCCTACTCGCCACTCACTCTCAGCTCTGCCTTCGGATGAGTCCGTAGAGTCGAGTGGTCCGTATGCAGAGCTTGTTGGCTGCCTCATGTACCTGATGACCTGCACACGACCTGACCTTGCATACCCTCTGAGCATTCTTGCACGCTATGTTGCTCCTGGGAGACACAGACCGGAGCACATGGCTGCAGCGAAGAGGGTATTGCGCTACCTGTGCAGTACGTCGGGCATGGGGCTAGTGCTTGGAGGGCGGAGTCCAGTGGTCCTTACCGGCCAGGCGGACGCTTCTTGGGCTGACGACCAGGCTACGCAGCGGTCGTCACAGGGTTACACCTTCAGCCTTGGTTCCGGCTCTGTCTCGTGGCGGTCTACTCGCTCGTCTTCGGTTCTCGGCTCCAGTTGTGAGGCTGAGATCTACGCCGGGGCCATGGCTGCACAGGAGCTTCGCTGGCTCACCTACCTGCTGACTGACCTTGGAGAGCCGCCTCGTTCTCCTCCAGTGCTGTACGTAGACAACAAGGCCATGCTGGCCTTGTGTCGAGAGCAGCGCTTGGAGCACAGAACGAAGCACATTGCTCTCCGCTACTTCCTTGCTCGTGAGCTGCAGCAGCGTGGTCAGTTGCGACTTGCGTACGTGGCCTATGAGGCCAACACTGCTGATGTGTTCACCAAGGCACTCGCGCCTTGTGACCATCAGCGCTTTTGCACCCAGCTGGGTCTTGTACCTGTCTTGCCTCACTTGCTCTCCTCTTGACTTCACTTGTAGTGTGACATATATATATACCTGCTCTTGTTTGTCTAGTTTTATATATATGTCTGTACTCCTGCATGTGAACTGGCCTCTGGCCCTGCTCTTGTGCTCGGACTGTGTGGTGACTTTGTGATCCACCCTGAGCTTTCTCTGCTTTGCTTTACTTGACTGGTCTTGTGACCCCTTGCTCTCCCCCACTTTGCCTATGGGGGTGTGTCAGATTTATATGACATATTTGCTGTAGGCTATAGTGGGGTAGCACATATGGGGTACAGGGTTTCTAGGGTTGTATTTGTACCCAATCTTTCCTTAGTCATTTTCATTCCTGTTCACTTGTTTCACACTTCCTTCCTTCCTCCACCTGTCGCAGCTTTGCCTCCTCCACCACCGTTTCCTCCTTCCGCGGACACCTTCGCGTTCCCCTGATGCTGGGCGGCAACTGCTGATTGGGGCGCCGTCTGTCTTTCCGCGCCGTCGTCATCAATCACACTGTCGGGGGGTTGTGATGTCGGCACCGCAGAGCGTTTTTCGGCGATGCGCTTGCAGGTGTACTCCACCATGCTGTCTCGCAACGATTTTAGTCCCTTTGTCTTGATGTTCTCGAGTCTCACCGCACCACGACCCTTCTCGCCCGTCAGCAGGTCAACCTGCTTGGCCACCCACCCGAACGACGTCGCGGCAAGCATGCCAGTGCCGACCTTCTCGTCCGACACTGTGTCTGGCACATTCTGCATACAACACCGGCAAGCGCAGAACATTGTGAGCGGAGCATACAGAAACGTGCACCCTCATTAATGGATAAACGTGCAACGTGCAACTCACGTCGCGAATAGGGTGGTCGCAATCGGCAAGCCTATCCTCCACCACTGCTTGTGATGGCGGTGCCCCGTCCCACTGGCTACCGGGACGCCCCAGCTCGGCCAGGACTGCCATACGGAATAGCCTGGAGCATCGTGGTGAAGGAAGGCGGTCAGCATGTGATACCCTGGGTCGGCGACTAACAAGCGGGAAATCGACGACTATTCCCAACTTACTTCAGCACGCGGACGGCCTCGTCGCGGTGCTTCAGTTTCCCAGTATGCGGGTCGATGTGCCCGATCGAGGTCCTGCAGACCTGTCCCTCAGCCTTCAGTAGATCTCCTGGGTAGAGGATGGCTATGACGCTGCAGTGTGACCCTGGAAGCGGACCGCCGCTGCACATGCAATACACGATGGCGTCGACCACAACATTAGGCGATGATGCGACCGACTAAACAAAACGATAACTTGACAACGGGGAAACAGCTCACGTCGTGCTTAACGGGATGGCAGCGATGTCGGCGTTGAAAACCGTAGCAAAGCAAGAATGGTCTGCCGCCTTCAAGGCCGATCGAAGCGGGCCGACTCCGATTACCCACAACTTCTGGTCGTTCAGTTCATTGCGAAACCAAGCGTACCTGGGCGCACGAGTGGGCATGAGGGATGATGGGATGGCGGGTAAGCAAACGCTAACGCTACCAGATCGACGCTTGCTATGCCGACCGACGTCCATGGACGGGGTCGCGACAATCTGCGACAATCCGCCCCCGACGGCGCCGACATATACTTTATGCGCCCATCTAGAGGAAGTCGGCGCCGATATCCACCCCATTCTCCAACCGCAACTACTCGAGTCCCACCTGATGGCGAATCCCAAGCATCTGTCGGTGAACTCTTTCTTCTGGTCGCGAAGGGCGGCGAAGTCGTCCCACTCGAAGGTGAAGCTGAGACCGCGACCCATTCGGTGTCTAAGGGGAAAGTCAGCCCAAGTCGGCGCCGACTTCTCGGCGTCGGGGATTGGCTCCATATCGACTAAGGTATGATAGCACGGATCTAGGGGGAGGCGCAGAGCTGTCTGGGAAAATGAGAAAAGGAGAAAATGAGGAGCGAAGCCACCTTCCGCAATGAAAAGGGGGTGGGGCCGTTCAGCATCGCCGAAGGGTATGGGGCCTGGCTCGGCAGGGCTCGGAGGGCGCATGCGCTAGTGGCACAGGTGGTCCGTCTCCGCCCTGGCAGAGCAACGACCTCGCGTCCATTGGCCCAGGTCGGCGAGGGGACGCACAACTCGCCTGCGCGCGGAGCGTCTCTAGGGCCGACACGTGTCGATTTTCGTAGCGGATCGCGGTGGTAGATGCGAGATGTTTTAATTTCGCATCGTCCGAAATTTTGCATGCTGAGAAAATTAGAAGAAAGAAAGAGGGTTTGACTAGCAAGAATGGGGATACAAATAGCAAACCCTAACAGGGTTGTACTCGCTATAGAGCACCCCACTACAGGCTAGATGAGAACATTCTGACACACCCCCATAGCCAAAGTGGGGTGTAATCAGCAGAGCAAGCAAAGCAGTACAAGCTCAGGGTGGATCACAATGTCACCACACATTCTGAGCACAAGTTCAAGAAGCAATAGTTTAAAGTTAAAAATTATGAGCAAAGCTAGAGGCTATCGCAGAGGGCAAGTGAGGAGGAGGAGGCGAGAGTGAGAGAAAAGGAGATAGGAGGCGACGGATGAAGTTGCAGACACACGGGCAACAGGAGGCAGACTGGCACAGCGGCTACCGGACGAAGCCCCCGGACTACATAGGTAACTGGCCCCGCGGCTAAAGTAGCGGCAGACGAGCAACGGACCCACGGGCGACTGGCACAGCTGGCTACGACTGAGCTACCGGACGAAGCCCCCGGACTACAGGTGCTGCTAGCGACACAGCGGCATCCTTCATTCCGGACTACAAAAGGGGGGGGGGGGGCCGCAGGCGGGGCCGGGGCCAGGACTGGCGGCGCACGGGCGGTGTGGGGCCGGGACAGCGGCGCACGGGCGGCGACGGGCCGGGGCTGGCGGCGCACGGGCGGCGACGGGCCGGGGCTGGCGGCGCACGGGCGGCGACGGGCCGGAGCAGCTGCGCGGGGCCGGGGCAGCGGCGCACGGGCGTCGACGAGCCGGGGCAGCGGCGCTCGGGCGTCGACGGGCCGGCGCGCGGGTCCCCGTCGCCCGTCGCAGCGCCTCCCGAGGGCGACGCGCCGAGCGACGAGGCAGAAGCCCGCCGCGCGCCTCGGGGCGCACAGCGGGCAGAGAACCGCCGCGCGCCTCGGGGCGCACGGCGGGCAGAAAACCGCCGCGCGCCTCGGGGCGCACGGCGGGAAGAAAAAAACTGCCGCACGCCACGGGGCGTGCGGCAGAGAGGGTAGCAGTAGAAGTTGCAGCGGAAGCAACGAGGTGGTGGTGACCCACCTACAGGATCGATCCAAGGGGATCGACCTGCTCTGATAGCATGAGAAAATTAGAAGAAAGAGGGTTTGACTAGCAAGAATGGGGATACAAATAGCAAACCCTAACAGGGTTGTACTCGCTATAGAGCACCCCACTACAGGCTAGATGAGAACATTCTGACACATGCGTGCGCTGCGAAGCCACGGGCGAACACGTGGCGCGACCGCAACGGGTCGCGAAATTGTCGAGTGTCCCGAAGGGGCCCCGATTTTTCGCCCGGCCCTCGCCTGCCCGTCCGGTCAGGCCGCGATGGGTTACTAGGTCCTCGCGGGCAGGTGGCACGGTTGGGCAGCCTTCGCGCGAGGGTTACTTTCCCTCGCGCGAGGGGTCGCTAGTTCGCCGACCCCACCCGGTAACGTGGGCCGCTGTTCACTCTCGGAGCAGGGCTGCGGGGCGGCGGTCGTGCGCTCGGCCCAGCCCTGGGCCAGGCTGGCGGGCCCACACGCGCGTCAGTCGCCCGCCTCATCATTCTCGGCTCCGACGACCCCCCTCAATGACACTGGCAAAACCGTCCCGACGACCGAATTCTGATGAGGCTTTCGGTGTACTACAATCCAGTGCACACGTAACAAGGCAAGGGGTGCTGGCACTGCTGGGCAGACGAGACGAGAGACCTCTTGTCGCGTGTTTGGAGATCTCTAGGGCTTAAGATGGGTAGGTTTGTGCGAAACAACATTAGGCTAGAAAAATAACGAAAGCTGTACACATACCCTAGTATATTATGTCAAAACGCACAAAGGTTCCCCCATGAAACCCCCAACTAATCCACTATTTACACTAACCCACATTTCCCCTCGAGCTTAAACACTTTCTAGAGTTTCCAGTATTTAGATCTTACCCTTACGACCGTAATGGTGAGTTCTGTAAGCAGGTTAAAACCCAGCAGATACTCTGGTAGCGACTTCATCTGCTCGCAGCGAATCAGCCATAGAAGCAGGCAAATCTCTCGGGCAGGCAGAAAACCTTTGAATTGTGAATCTCCAGGGTCCTAAGGTTGGGCGGACAAGTGATATTTTTCTATCTCTCCCTTCTTGACACTCACATCAAACAACCTTGGAATTCGCAGGGAAGCACAAGGTCCCTAGCTTTGACATGCAGGAAGAGAGGCATTTCATAATTCTGGAAGACTTAGCGAGCTTGCAGCATTCAGAAGATTTGAGGATGAAATGACAGGCCTTGGCATTGGTGGGATCGGTTATTTGCGGCAGGGCCCATCCACCTTCCGGGACGTCAGGTTTGAGTGAGCGGTCAACCCTTCGCTCGATTCCACGAGCCAGGTTCAGTCCTCCAGCCTGTGCATCAGGTTCGGCAGAGCCCCGATCTCAGTGGTGGAGTTTATGGCTTGGAAGACTCTCAGGTTCGGAAAGAGGCAATCCGAGTCTGGGACGCTCGAGCAATTGACTTTCACCAGTTTGAGATGTGTGATTGTAGGGGAGGCCCAGAGGGACAGCCTGATGCTCTGCATGTTATAAGGACGTCCGTGCAGCGTCAAAGACTCTAGAGCAGGAGGGAGAAACGACTGAAGAGTCTCGTCCTGCCGCCGCCGCTGCTCCCATGCCGCAACCTCTCTCCAGTCCCCCTCGGAAATGCACAGGTCTTTTAGACCTGTCAGATGCCACAGCCTAACCCTAGGCCTGGAGTTCAGGTTTGGAGCAGCCTCGGGCATATGGAGCCGCGTCAGGCTCGGCAGGTGCCTGAGGGATGGTGGATGGGTCCTCCATCGTCCCGAAGTGAGAGTCAACGAAGTCAACCGCTTCAAGCCCGCGAAACGAGGCTCGTCCGCATTCTCACCCTCCTCCTCCCCATTGCCCACGTTGGCCCTCCTTGCTGCTGCTGCTGCCTTTGCTGCTACCGCGTATTCTCTGCTGCTGCACAGGTTCGTCCCTAGTTCCTCCAGCTGTTCGAGCTCCCATATCGAGTCCGGAAGCAACTGGATAAAGGTATCAGTGCTATGGTAGCTAAAGTTGCGTCGAATTCTCAAGCCGCAGTGAGGCCGGCAGGCCCATAGGTTGAGAGACAGCTTCCGAAGCGAGCGCTCCAACCCAAAAAACAGGTCCGGAGAGAGGTTCGGTGTTTCATCACGCCACCAGACCTCCGAGCTTATGTGAAGCTCTTGTAACACTTGCAGTTGCGAAAGCGGAGCAGAGGAGGCGAAGAAATTCTCATTTGAGCAGGTCAGGTGAAGATGAAGTGAACGGAGGTGGGAGAGTGTGGAAGCAAAGGCGGTGGATGAGAATGAGGCAGAGAGGGGATGGTGAAGAGGTAGGGAGAGATGCAATAGTAGCCGCTGTTGTCGCTGATGCTTCGAGCCTGGTAGCAGTTCTGTGGGTAGGGGTGACTGACCCGTTGCACCTGTGAGTGGCACCGAGCCTGCCGAACCTGCCGAGCCTCCAGGGCTTCCCGAGCCTCCCGAACCCTCCGAGCCTGCGGCCACCGCGGATGAAGAAAGTGAGGGCACGGCGCCGTCTGCCGAGCCTGCAGATGGCGAAATTGCTGTTATCAAGTCTGGCAAGTTCTGAACCGCGGCGAATTGAACCATGTCCGCTTGCACGTGGAACGATTGGAGTCGCGGGCAGGAATCGAGAATTATGGCAAGGTGTTCAGTCAAGATGGCGTTAAACGCGGTGAAGTGGAATCCGAACGCAAAT